CACCTTAGGTGTATGTGGCTGGCGCCTTAGCCACTTGAGCCATAGGCGCCGAGCCTAGAATTCTTATTATAAAAAAAATCAAAGTATGATATAACATTCTTTCCATTTACCCAGCCTTAAAAATTAAAAAAAAATAAAGAAACCTTAATGATTTTTAAAATAATTTGATAAAAGAAGTCCATAACTGATTACCTGCTTTGATAGCACAATCTGTGATAGAATAAAAAGTATAAGGTGCAGATGCTACAGTAGCGGGGTGCGGTCATCTAACTGTGCTATGGTCAAGAAACTCGAGGTATGTCCATTGCTGTGGACATCTTTATTTTCTGGTTCAGAAAATCAGGAAGTTCACTCCACTGTAACATTTAAAACTTTGGGTTTTTTGTTTGTTTGTATGCTTTTGAGAGAGGGCTCTGACACTCAGGCTATTATGCAGCAGCACCATAGATCACTGCAACCTCAAACTCCTGGGTTCAAGCAATCCTCCTGCCTTAGATTCCCAAGTAACTAGGATTACAAGTACGTCCCACCATACTTGGCTAATTAATTTTTAAAATTTTTTTTGTGGAGACAGGTTTTTGCTGTTTTGCCCAGGCAGGTCTTAAATACCTGGCCTCAAATGATCCTCCTGCCTTGGCTTCCCAAAGTGCTAGAACTACAGGAGTGAGGCATTGGCTGATATTTTAAGGAAAGGCCTTACATGCTGCTATTACTGCCAGAAGTGAAAAAAAATTTCCAAAATTTAGTAACAATATGATTAAGGAATCTATCCTTCATTCTTACCCAGGACTCACTTCCTTTCTACAACTAACTAGAGCCTTTATACAAACTGTGAAATAGACCCCAAGAGATGGTAAATATTTACCTGGTCCCTATTGTTGATATTTGAATAAGGTAACTGTCCAGTCATCAATTCATACAGAACAATCCCAAATGCATACACATCTGACTGAAAGCTGTATGGGTTTTTGTCTTGCATTCTGATTACTTCTGGTGCCTGTTAGAACATAAAAAGAAAAATAGTCTACTTTATTCTTCAACTTAAATGAATAAAGACTGAATAACAAACTATTAACAAACTGAATAACTAAAAACTGAATAACAAACTATTCTCAGAACAATGTTTTTATCATTAAAAGAAATCTGTCTGTTATGTAACTAATTCTCTTATTAATGGCCAAAGGAATAAAACCAATTAAGACAGATAAAGAAAAAAACTGGTTCTATAAACTCTGAAAGAGGCAGTTTTAAGGTAAGATTCCATAATACATTAGTAAGACTTTATAATTTCATCAGCCACTCTCTGTATGAAATACCATCATTGTCATTTGAATTCTTCTCGTGACTTACCCTATCAGAATCAGTTCCCACTTGCCCTTCCCGATTCAGCAAAGAAATACTAGACCTCTGGTTATAAGATGTTTGGAAGCAGTACAACAACTGCAGTAATTAATTATCTTAGAATTTAAGTTTTCCCATTGGTACAAATGATTTTCCTCATCTCAGGCACCTTAGGAAATAATGGCAGAATTCCAAGAATGATAAACTCAGATTCCTTTCCAAGCCAGGGAGTAAGCATAAGGTATAAACATGCCATGGATACTTTAACAAAAGCAACAGAGAGCAGGTACATTTAGAAGACTGTAGAAACTGCAGGGGTGTCCAACACCCCCCCCCCACCCCCCCGCTCTGGTACACAATGGAAGAGTGAGAGTTATCTTGGGCCACACATTAAATATACAGACATCAACAAAAGCTGATTAGCAAAAACAAAACAAAAAAAAAGGTCGTGCATATTTTCATGATATACAATACCACAGACAAGCAAAAAAAGTTCTCACAAAATCAGCATGTGGCCCATGGGCTGCAGCTTGGACACCCCTGGTATAAAGAATCTTTTCTGCTACTTAGGCAATGAAACAGATTGATTCACATTGCTTACATTTTTATACATTTCAGTCACTGTATCATACAACTAGATTTCTTATTTATATGAAATACAATAAGTGGTTGGTTAAATATTAGTTTAAAAGATTTGTTCTTTCACCTTGTATCTTTTGTACTGTTTTGTTTAGAAGAGACTGAAACTGCAGTGTATTAATGAGAACTTTATAAAAATGTCAACTGGATAGCAAACACAGTAGTAACTCTGCAAAAATGGCTGAAAGACCTGGAACGAGATCCCTGGTTTCTGGCCTGGGTGAGGCACGTGTCTCCCTAGAGGCAATAAAGGCACTGAGCAGCAACTGCAAATCAGAATCATGTGCAGGGCTGAAGCCTCTCAATGCCCAGACGAAACTTCAGTCTAGTAATAAACATCAGAATCAGGGGTGGGACCCAAATACTTTTTACTAGTCTTTAAAGCTCCCCAGATGATTCTAGTGTCCAATCAAATTTCAGAACTACTGATGGGAGCTTTGTGGGAGATATTTGTGGGAGATCCTGAAGTGAGTGAGAAGAAGGGGGTGAGGGAGGTCTGCATTTACGTGCTTTTGTCAACATTTTGTTGAAAACTGCTTTAAGTAACAAAGTACAAAATAAACTGCGTGCAACTGTGATGTAATGCAACAAGCCAGAATACTGACAGGCTGGTTATGATAAAGACACAATTTTCTTTCTTTTTTTTTTTTTTTGGAGACAGGAGCCTCAAGCTGTCCCCTGTCCCCCTGGGTAGAGTGCTGTGGCATCTCAGCTCACAGCAACCTCCCACTCTTGGGCTCAAGCGAGTCTCCTGCCTCAGCCTCCCAAGTAGCTGGGACCACAGGCGCCTGCCACAACGCCCGGCTATTTTTTGGTTGCAGCCGTCATTGTTGTTTGGCAGGCCAGGCCGGATTTGAACCCGCCACCTTGGGTGTACGTGGCTGGCGCCTTAGCCACTTGAGCCACAGGTGCCGAGCCAAGACACAATTTTCAAAGGCTGAGCGAACTTTTGTGAGGAGTAGAGTACAAATAAGATGAAAATTGTCTTTTAAAATTTAGTTTTATCTCACTATTGTTGATAGATGGATTTGATGAAAAGTACAATGGTGGTTAATGAAAAGTGTCATGTTACCTATTTATAACAAATGCATGACCTATCCTCAGTGATTTGATTTGTAAAAAAATTTCACAAAGGTTTCTTTCTTCTTTAAGATATAAAAACAAAGTTGAGAAGTCTATTGTAAATAATTCAGAGAACCACATAACCTTAAGCCTGACCAAATTCCTCTCTTCTAATTCATGAATGTTCCATATTTGTTTCTGAAGACAGTATCAACTTAAGATTTACTTAACAATGAAGGGTACTATTGGCTATTCTCTTGTCTTAAAACTCGCCATGGTGGAATAAAGGATGAACCCATTTATGCACGTTATCTATAAAAAAGTAACTAGATGAAAATATAAAACTTCACATGTAATAATCTACTGACTATATAAAATAAGGTTTTTGAGAAAGAGCAAACCTGAAGACTTGATTGAGCCTGTATCTCTCACTCTAGATGAAATAAACACATCTTTGAAACATGTGAAAATTGGTTCATTATAATTTTAGGTTCTGCAATTTCAGCACTTAAAATCTGTTTTCCCTCATTCTTAGGACATGCTGCCATCTTTGTTACAAGTGTGTACCTTAAAGGTACTTGAGATTCAGATTATAATTATTAGTCTCTCATTTATAATTATTAGTTAAAACAGTTAAACATACATTAACAAATAAAAAAATCTAGCTACTCCAATTATTGAATCTTAGAAATAGAAAGGGCATTAGAAATCCACTAGGCCAACCCAACATTTCTAACGGACAGACTTAGAGGAGGTTAAGAAACTTGTAGGTTAATGGTCAACCAGGGTCTAGAATGCAGATCTCCTAACTCTAAGTCCAATGCCCCTTCTTCCACCTTGCTATTTGATTCCATTTATTGGCATAAGAAATCATAGCTCAATATAACCCTAGGCTTATTATTATTATTATTATCATTATTTTTTGAGACAGAGCCTCAAACTGTTGCCCTGGGTAGAGTGCAGGGGCATCACAGCTAACAGCAACCTCTAACTCCTGGGCTTAAGTGATACTCTTGCCTTAGCCTTCCAAGTAGCTGGGGATACAGGCACCCGCCACAACGCCTAGCTATTTTCTGTTTGTAGTTGTCTTTGGTGTTTGGTGGGCCTGGGCTGGATTCGAACCCGCCAGCTGGTGTATGTGGTTGGCGCCTTAGCCACTTAGCTACAGGCACGGAGCCAACCCTAGGCTTATCTTAACAAACTCAGAATCCTACCTTGAACTTTCCTTCTTGAGGACTGATGCATACAGTTAAGGGAATTCAGGCAAACATGGCTTCAAAAGCCCTTGCAACTTCTGTTTCTCAGAAGAAGAGGATTAAGTTATTTAAAGTCTAAAATTGTGCTAAGACTTTTGGGACATCCTGTATTCAGTTTAGACCTGTGGTTTTCAAACTTTCTGGTCTCAGGAATCTTCTTTCGCTCCTAAAAATTTACTGAGGACCCTAAAGAGCTTTTGCTTATGTGTATTACGTTTGTGGGCAGTGATCAAATTAAATCTTAACTGAGAAATTAAAACATTTACTAATTCTTTTAAATATAAAAATAATAATAAGTAGATATTAACACATAACCCATTTTTAATGAAAAATATTTTTTCAAAAACAAAAGTGAGTGTAATTCTTTTTAATATCTGGCTTAATAGTAGATTCTCACATTCATTTCTGCATTCAATTTGTTGCAATGTGCTGTTTTGGCTGAAATCTGGTCTCACCAAGGGAAGACCTTGTGGATTCTCTCAAAAGGTCTGTCTGAGGGACCCTTTTAAGAATGCTGGCTAATGGAACGATTCCCATGACTGACTTTGACACAGCCTGCTACAACTGCACCAAAGTTTTAGTTTCCTTCTTTTAGAACTTCTCTTTCTTCTTTTCCACAGCAAAAACACAGGAATAAAGAAAGAAAGAGCAAACTATCTAAGGTAGAGCAAGGCAGACTATTAAAAATCTACTTCTCGTTTTTTTTTTTTTTTTGGTCTTTCCTCTTCCAACTGCCCCATAATTATAAGGTTCTTTCTAGTCTGAAGGAAGTAACTGTCTAATTTAGGCTTAAATAAGATTGTGAAACAGCCTGTCTGTTAAAAGGAGTAGTTCTCTTAGCAAAACCGTAACAAATGGCTATAGATCACACCTGCTTTACATTGCATACCTGTTTTTTTTAAACAGAGTACACAGAACATTTTGAACACAAACTATTTTAAACAGACAATTCTGAACCATTTTAAACACTATTTATAACATATGTAGTTTTGCTTGAAATATACTAAGATCTGGTTTCATAATATTCTTTTGAAAAGGAGTTAAAATCTATTTATATAAAAAGAACATTTTTTTTGAATATCGGGAACTGTGAAAATGTTATCGTTGAAAACTTCAATGACCTTCTCATAATTTAGCAGCATCTCAGGGTCCGAAACTTTAATCAATAGAGAAATAGCCTGAGTTCTTACCATCCACAAAATGGATCCAGACAACTGTTCAAACTGATGGGACCCACTCCATCGAGATTTCACTGTGGCTAGACCAAAATCACCTATTTTTACTGTGAGGTCTTCATGAAGAAATATATCTGAGGTGTAGTAAGTAAAGGAAAACAATGGATCTCATTTTCCTATCAGAGCAAGCATCATGAAGATTTTAGGTAAGAGATCTAATGTCTGTAATTCTATAATCTGATCTTTTAAAAAGTATATAGTACTTCTTGTTTCCTCTTAAGTATGTTCCTCAACAATATGTTTTAAACAATAATTAACTCTATTTAGACTTTATGACCAGCTTTAAAGATTTTTGGGGGCTTGATGCATGCTAGGATGAAGTGAGATACTTTTCTAAGTTTATGGGAGAACCTGAAACTTTCCCTTCAGATTTTAGCAATGTAGGCCCAGATATCCTCTGGTACTGCTGGGCAAGCTGGGAAGGCTCCTCATTGGAATGAAGATGTTGGCAGACAGGATCTTAGGCTGGGCTTAGGGAAGAATAAGAAAAATTAGGCTCTTCTCATCTCATTGTTATATAATTTAAAGCCTTCAATTACATCTCAGTTACCACTAAGCAAGGTCAGAGGACTGAATGAGATCAGTGAATGGCTACACAGCTATCAGTTTTCTTTTTCTCTTTCTTTCTTTTTTTTTTTGAGACAGAGCCTCCAAGCTGTCACCCTGGATAGAGTGCTGTGACGTCACAGCTCACAGCAACCTCCAACTCCTGGGCTCAAGCGATTCTCCTGCCTCCACCTCCCAAGTAGCTGGGACTGCCTGCCACAGTGCCCAGCTATTTTTTGGTTGCAGCCGTCATTGTTGTTTGGCGGGCCTGGCTGGATTTGAACCTGCCAGCTCACGTGTATGTGGCTAGCGCCTTAGCCACTTGAGCCATAGGCGCCGAGCCAGCTATCAGTTTTCTAAGCAAGCAATCAAAAAAGTACTATTAAGTGTAAAGACTTTTGATAAATTTTTTTGGTAACGTTCAGTTATTCAGAAACAAAAAGCACGCTGTCTTGCTTGCCTATACTTGCATGCAAACTTCTTTATTAATTCTCTTTGCAATATATTGAACTTAGCATGAAAATTGTTTTTACATAGTGTGAAGACAAAATGCAGAAGAAAAAGTCAGGATGTTTTCAAGCTTCGCAGACATATTTCAGGAAGGATACTATTACTCTTGAGGTCTCTGTGGATGATTGACTTGGCGTGTAAGTAACTGAAAAACAAAACATCATTTTAACCTGAGTAGGGCTAAAGGACTGAGGCCTCAAAATCTATAGAACATATTTAGGGGTATAAAGACTTATTTAGAATCATAATAAAATTGAAAACTGTACACTATACATTGTGATAACCCCTTTACATAATATTAAAATAGACTATAAATGAATTTAAGATCATAGGAACATATTTCTATTATGGTATAGCCAAAATCTTGTTTTCTATTAAAAGACTTTGCTTGACCTTTTACAAGTTACCAATACAAACCTTTCACTCCAGTCCAGCCTATTTATCCATGTCCTTTAAATATACCTTAATTTTCAATTGCATCTCTACATTCAATGCTCCCCTATTACATCCATCCCACCCAAATTAGCTTTCATTCTGTTTTCCACTATGCATATCCATCTCTTAAGAGTGAACACAAACTGTAACTCCTGAGTGAAGCTTTCCTACTACCAATCTAACTGAAAATGATCTTTCATTGTTCAGCTTATATACTAATTATCATTACAACAGTTTGATTCATGTGTTTTTTAAAAAAATGCTCCTATATTCACCTATTTAGAATATGAAAGTTTGATAAAGTAAAACTTTTTTTTTTTTTTGAGAAAGAGTTTCATTATGTCGCCCTCGGGAGAGTGCCATTGCATCACAGCTCACAGCAACCTCAAACTCTTGGGTTTAAGTGTTTCTCTTGCCTCAGCCTCCCAAGTAGCCGGGACTACAGATGCCCACCACAACGCCTGGCTATTTTTTGGTTATAGGAGTCATTGTTGTTTGGCGGATCCGGTTGGATTTGAACCTGCCAGCTCTGGTGTGTGTGGCTGGTGTCTTAGCCGCTGGCTACAGGCTCCAAGCCTAAAACTATTTTTAAAGGTAGTATCATATACTCTTAAAATACTTTCTTAAAACTAATGAGGAGCAAATTTCCTCTATAATGGCCACAGTGGATACGTTTTAAAGTCAATAAGTCTAAGTCATCTGTTATACCTAAAACCTCTTTAAGTTGCATTCATTGAAGGCAAAAGATGTGTCTAATTTACTTCTGTTTACCCCCAGTGCCTAGTATGGATGGTAAGTATTCAATACATGTCTGTTAAGTCAACTACAATGGGATGCATATAATTTCCCAGGCAAGGTTATTTTTCTTCATTTAATACTGGAGAGAACAGATATGTTACACTTTTAAAATCTGACACTGACCGTTAGGAAATAAGTTTTACCTTAAAATGAGAATTTAAAATCTAAATGGTATATTCAAAATTATATAATGAACACTGTCAAAAATGAAAGACTTCCGAATACAACACAACCTCCATAGCTGACCACCTCCCTGCACTGACCACCTCAAATTGACCTAATTTTCATAGACTGGACATATACCACATGTACTCAATGGAAGTTCCTTATGATGACCTCCTCCATATGTTGACCAATTTGTTACAATCCCTTGGGTGGTCAGTTTATGGAGGTTCTACTATAATTGACATTATTCACAATTTCTCATCCTCATTCTCCCCAACATCCAGATTTTAAAACTATTTTTTAATCAAAATTTTCATTTCAAATTACTATTTATCCAGAGTAACCCCTTCTCCTACAATTACTTTCTTGTAGCACACTGTTTATTTCCTTCACAGCATTTACTACAATTGAAAATTATCTTGCTGTCATGACTTTAAGCCCGGTGTTTTACATCATAGTATCACTCTTCCACTGAAAGAAAATGTGATGCCAATCATAGGTCTCACCTGCTTTAAAAGTTCTGCAGTGACATAGAAAACAGGTGGAGATAAATAGGTCTCAGTCAAGATCTTTTTCGAGATGGGGAGACAATGTCTCTATCACAAAAGGGGATAAATGATGACAGTGTTGGTGCAGTTAGGTCCTGCAAACAGCGATACCTGGGATCTAGTATACAGTAAAGGTGTTGGCTTTTGAAAAGAGATCCTTTCTCCTTATGAGATTTTTAAAAAAGACAACTAACCTAATGGCTTCCCACCATATGAAAATATGGGGGCATGTTAAAGTTAAAAGAAGAGAAGATGAAGATGTTTTCTCAATGAATAAGTGTTAATCCTTTCAACAAATTTGATGCAAAGAAGTTTAGCAAGAATAAAGTAGTACATAGAAATTTCACTGAAGGGCAGAGGAGAGAAATCTTCTGACCAGAAATGTACTAGATAATTAAACAAGATATAAATGTGATTGCTAAGCTAGTGATAGAAGCAGAATAGAAGCTGAATAGTGTAAGTTCATTATAAGCTAAGTTACAACAGCTGCAACTTGAAATAATACCACATTATACTTGTGTAATAAATTTTATCTCATTTAATAGTTCTCTTTCTCCCATATTTCTGTAACAAAGGCAGCAAACAATAGAGTAACTGCTATTCTAAACAATTCAATATAGGCTGATGCTAAAATATAATTTCCTAAGTACCAACCAGTTATAATGGAAAACACCAAAAAACCACATAACTGGTTAGGAGTAGGGAAGGAACATGAATAAATCCACTTTGCTTTGCTACAGACGATACAAAAGTCCATCCATTATTTAGTATAATTAGACTGGCTTTCACTCCTACCTTTTTAAGACATTAAGGAGAGCATTACAGACTTACAGAAGTACTAGGAAAGAACAAAGATGCTATCAACCAAATTAATATCATATTGTCTGGACAGGTTTCTCTTAGAGGAGTCTTTTTCCTTGAAGAAAAAGTGTCCACCTACAGAATCATTTATTATTATTATTATTTTTTTAGAGACAGAGTTTCACTTTATTGCCTTTGGTAGAGTGCTGTCATGTCACAGCTCACAGCAACTTCAACTCCTGGGCTTAGATGATTCTCTTGCCTCAGCCTCCCAAGTAGCTGGGACTACAGGCGCCCGCCACAACGCCCGGCTATTTTTGTGTTGCAGTTTGGCTGGGGCTGGGTTTGAACCCGCCATCCTCGGTACATGGGGCTGGCGCCCTACTCACTGAGCTGCCCAGAATCATTTATTCTTGAAGCTGCAAAATCATCTAGCAAAATTTGTTTTCTACTTCTTTTAAGCTCTTTTAAAAGATTCAGCTTTTCAACACTCTTTTATGATGCCCCTGACCAAATACTTCAAATTTGGTCTGACTAACACAAATAAAGTGAGATTCTCATCTTCATCTCCCTGTGGTAGGCACAGAAAGCTTATTAAATCAGATATAATTGTGATTATGATCTGATTCTAGTGACTCCTATTAATATACTCAATTTCAATCCTAGAATAGTTCTTCTTGAACTGCTCATATAAAACACAAGTATACAGTTGTATACTCCTCTTTTTTAGACATGGCCTATAGTTTCTGCTCATTAAAATTTTAGCTTTCACTAAAAAAAACCCAAAAAACCCTTGTTTTTAAAGATCAGCATTAGCATAAGCTACTTCTAAATATGCTTATCACAGATGAATGGCCAACAAACACATGAAAAAACTGCTCATTATCTTTAATCATCAGAGTAATGCAAATCAAAACCACTCTAAGATATCACCTAACCTCAGCAAGATGAGCCCATGTCACAAAGTCCCAAAACACCAGATGCTGGCGTGGATGCAGAGAGAAGGGAACACTTCTACACTGCTGGTGGGACTACAAACTGATACGGCCTTTTTGGAGAGAAATATGGAGAATCCTCAAAGATCTAGAAGTAGATCTTCCATTTGACCCTGCAATCCCATTATCAGAAGAACAAAAATTATTTTACCACATAGACATTTGCACTAGAATGTTTATTGTGGCTCAATTCATAATTGCCAAGTGTGGAAGCAACCTCAGTTCCCATCAACCCATGAATAGATCAACAAAATGTGGTATACGTATACCATGGAATATTATTCAGCCACTAAAAAAGATGGAGACTTTACATCTTTTACATTTACCTGGATGGAGTTGAAATACATTATTCTTAGTCAAGTATCACAAAAATGGAAAAATAAATATCCAGTGTACTCCATACTAATATGAAATCAATATATGAACAATTACATGCTCATAAGAACAATAAAACACTAATATAGTCCAATTTGGGGATGGGGAAGGGGGGTGGGGAAAGTATGGCAGAAGAAGGAAGGGCATGAGGCGAGATCTCACCTAATGTGCATTGTGAGGGTGTATAACACGCCCCCCTGGGTGAGGGGCTCTTCTATTAACTTTACCCTGGAAGTGAGAACAACGTAACCTAAAAATTGTATTCTCATGTTAATTTGAATAAAGTTTTAAACAAACAAACAATAAATAAATAAATATGCTCACCATATTCAATATAGAAATCTCCTTCTAGTTTGCTATCTTCGGGTATGGTGATCATCTTCAGGTATACCCAGCATGAACCTAGTTAACTCTTGATATTCATGGTGCATCTCTCAATCTCATCCTTACAAATTCCATGACAGCATTCATTCAAAAGATGTATCAATACTATGGCACCATCTGGCCAGTTTATCAATCTATTCTAAGTGTCTCTCATTTAAACTTGCTATTTTCTTGTATTTTTAACTATTTTATAACTGTAGAACTTGGTCTTACACTACTTACACAACTGCATTTCAGCCCCTTTTCATCTAATATCACACACACAATTCCATAAAAATTCATCAGACTTCAGGCAGCAAGCTGAATCTCTCTTCAGACACCTTAGCCATTCACAGAAAATTTAGCAGCCTACTGGATGGACAGTCATGACAGTGGTGAACAGTGTCAAATTACAGTATCTCTCCTACTTGGATGACTTCTGCTTCCTTCATAATCACAATGTGGAAAGTTAACAAGGCTGATAAGAATGACATCTCTATAGATCTGCAGTCAGTAATTATTTATCACTTTAAAAATAATTAAAGTCATCCACAGGTGGAGTTCATGCATTTTTAAGTTGTACTCCATAGTAGCCTAAATTCCTAAATTTTACTCTGATTTCTGTCACTTTTAAAAAATCGACTTTGTTAAGGTATAATTTATAT